ATTTTACAGTTTGCAAAGACCCTATGTTTAACACCTTACTAAATATATCTCATCATAAGTTTTCGAAAATAAAATAAAAAAATTGTTCATTCTCACAAAATAAACCATCTCGTCATAAATAATAATATTTTAAAAATAGTTCTTGAAAAATCCTCATTTTTTTAACCATGTTTTTTATAGAGAATTAAACAAGGATTACGATGGTATAATTTTGAATCCCTAATTTACTGGTCTTCACTATGCGAATTAACCTTACTAGTATTTTATATTTACATATTTATTTATATTAACAAAAGAATCATTTCCGAATTATCGGGATACAACCTAATTTTATTTTCAACCTAAATGCTACCCGATGCCAGGGTGTCCAGATTGTTTAAAAAAAAGCGCAATTTCTGAAAAAAATCGCCAATTTTTTTTATTCATAAAATCGATTTAACAAATATTTTATTTTAAAAATGAGATCTCGTTATAATATAGTTTTTAAAACCAAAAACGAATATAATACCTTCAGAGGGTAATAATAAATAACACAAATCACTTATGTATATAATAGTGCTGCACAAACAATTTTCTTTAAAAATACGCATGCTTTTTAAACATATTTGTTTCAACACATTTTGCAATAGGACTGCGCAATTATTAAATTTATTATAACTCATATTAATTGATTAATCGCACAATCCGCTCGGCGCTAAAAATTAAATAAAAACCTATAATAAGGCGAGATCAGCTATTTTCACAATTTCTTCAAAATCACCTATAACTAGTGTCTGAATGATTTACAAAGTCAGCATATTTCTTCATAGTTATTGCGACTGTTGACAAACCGACACTGTCGATTAGTCGCGTGAGTTGGTCAATGCGACGGCTTGAGTAATAATGATGACAAATGTAAACAGATATATATATGACGATGAACTCCCGCTGAGTTCATTAGAGTTTATTTGGGTCATAATGGCTTAGCTGTGTGCGGTCGATATTTAGTGTAATACTACACTTTAAACGACGATATGTATGTATGTATTTATAACTAGGAGTATTACTCAACAGTAATCACCTCAAAACCTTTAGTATGTAAAAAACTAAGTAATGTAAAAAAAATATTTGTTTAAAAATAATCTTTTATTTAACATGTTTAATCAAAGGAATAAAATAAAGTAGTGAAACAAAAGATTTTTTAGCAAGACAATTTTGTCAAAACTGCACTAAATGAATGAATAAAATAAAATAAGTTAGGGTCTCGTTAAAGTTACTTAAAGCCATTTAGTGAAAGGAGTTATTCAAACTCTAATGAAAATTACTAACAATTTGTACTAATTTACTTCGTTTTTAAAAAAGCTTGTCGAGCGAATAGCAAACCGGCATTTAAATATCTGCATACATACATATAAATACATACATACATACCTAACCAATTATGCATGTACGCTGAATTCGCCGACAAGCTTTTTTAAAAACGAAGTAAATTAGTACAAATTGTTAGTAATTTTTATTAGAGTTTGAATAACTCCTTTCACTAAATGGCTTTTAGTAACTTTAACGAGACCCTAACTTATTTTATTTTATTCATTTTAGTGCAGCTTTGACAAAATTATCTTGACCAAGTTAAATAAAAGCTTATAAAAAGTGACTTAACCTGAAAAGAGTGACTTAAACCTAAAAGTGGCTAACCTGATATTCACGCAGGCCGCCAATTTATTGCGAAAAATTTTTCATGCACATTCAACTTGTATGGGGCCAACCGAAATTAAACGGCGTGCGTATGAAGCTAACCCAATTTTTGTTCTGCGTGACATTTTGATTTGACGTTTCGCTCAATGAAATCAAATGCAAACGCACGGAAGCCAATTCGAGTGAAAAAGATAACCATTTTGAAATATGAGTGTTTTTACTCTCTATAAAATAATTTATGCAATCTCACATACGCGGTTTTGCATTATCTTGATACGGGGTTTTGCATTTTGTTGATACGCGGCTTTGTACTTTAAACGACGATATCGTCGCTTGGCGCGCAATATCTCGTATACGTGGGGCTGCCAGACGTCCCGGTTTTCCCGGACATGTCCCGGTTTTAGACTATTTGTCCCGGTGTCCCGGTCCAGCCTTAAAATGTCCCGGGTTTCGTTTTAGTGTCCCGGTTTTTGATTTGATTGCACAAATTTGAATAAAAGTTCAAAAATCACTACACTAAGAGAAAAAAGGCGTTGTAATATTCAGAAAAATTTTATGAATTCAATGAGAGAAATAACGCATAGTAAACATGAATATTTTCTATTTGATTATCGTTTAAAAATGTTCATAATTAAAAATAATACTTTCATAACACGCACGCGTGGTGTTGATTCAAACGCAACATTTAAATGCACATTTACATGTCTGGCTGTAGCTGAGTGCGCGAAGATGCTTGCCACAATTTGCTAATTTCCAGAGGGTCAGGGTTCAATTCCCATTACAACCAGCAATAAATTGAAATATTTTTTTAACTTAATTATGAAAAAGCAATCGGTAATTGCAAATCGCTTCCTTTTAATATGGGCGTATTTGAAATGAATATTTCTATACTAAAAACTAAAATTTGTATACTTAAATGTAGTACGAGTTGGGTTGGTGCTCTTTTCATATGCGTATTTTTTAATTTAGCAGGCTTTTTTAATTCCAAACTTCTTTCTCTCAGTGCACCGGTTTAATTTGTGAAATAGTTACATTTCGAGATAGTTGAACTTTGCACAAGCAATAGTTGATGATTAGTATATGTACCTAAATACGTTCAAAATGACGTGCACAGAGTTTTACAATTATATTAAGGAAAATACAGAAGTAAGAAGAAGAAATATGACTGTTATTTTAATGTTATCTTGTACTTAAACTTTTTTCTTTAATGAAACCTAGAGTACTTATAAGTACAGTGCCGTACAAAATTATTGGCTCGGAGGCTTTTTCATCAGATCACAATTTCTAATCAGATCTTTTAGAAAAATTTTGACAATGTAGCTTTTGAGCCAATTAATAAAGTGCAAGTCTGAAGTTGCCAGCAAATTTCGTTGATTTTTAGCATTTATTTTTTTTGCTGACAGTGTCTTCCATATAAAAAGAATTATCGAACATAGTTTGTATGGAAGAAACTTTCAGTAAATACCAATACCAAAATTCAACTAAAATTTAATGGGCTGCAAAACTTCACGAAGGGAACGAGAGACCCTCCCTAAAGTGTCCCGGTTTGGCAACAGAGATATCTGGCAGCCCTACGTATACGCCAAATGCAATACCTCGTATATCTCGAAAAGGCAAAAATTGAGATTTGCTCAAACTATGTCTATGTTACTCAATCTCATTTATTTAGGCAAAAATGTTGCTATTCGGACAACAACAAAAACCGTAAACTGCAATACCGCGAATAAGAACATTGGCAAAACTGTGATAGCAACATCAAGTATAGTTGACTTCACTGTCTTTAGTCAGCAGTATATCTTCGTGGAGTTGACACGCGGTTTAACAAAAATATTTTTTTTATATAAATATTCTAATGGGTGGCAACAAAACTTCGCCGCATTCTCGTGGAATGCTGTTATCACCATTTGTTTCAAACGGGGACCATAAAAACAAAAATTTTACCAATTTGATGAATATAATGGTATGTTATATATACATTAGACTGCATCACTCCCCATACAAAAAAAATCGGTACTGTTTTTCCATTGGAATTATAAAATCTATTATATTTTAAGACGCCCACCAAAATATTTCGAAAAAATATTAAGATTTAAGTGAGCTGGACCGATTTGAAAATACCTACAAAGATGGAGTTTTTTATGAATAAAAATAGTTTTTTAAAGATTTTTTTTAAAAAAATCACCTCAAATGACAAAACGTTGGCAAAATTCATTTGATAACAGCTGATTTACAAGCTCTAAAATTATGCCCAAAATTAAATGCTAGTACTGCTTACTACAAAACCAAACTTGCAGTTCACAACTTCACAATTATAATCTGGCTACTGGTTTGATGAGACCGAGGGTGATCTGAAATCATCATCTTTCACAAACTTTTATGTTGGTTACATTACGTCAATACTATGTGAGGACCCCAAACCAGAGTAGTAATTTACACGGACGGGTGCACATACCAAAACAGGAATACTGTTCTTTCCAATGCTTTGCTAAGACTTGCTTCATTCAGCAATTTAAAGGATATTGAAAAATCAAGAAATTTATTTGCCAAGCCAATATGCCCCGGCGACGTAAGGGGCGCGTAGATAACCATTTTCATATAAGGTTAAAATAATTGATCATTCATTCTTTAATGATTATAGTGATCAGAAGTCCTTTATAAATGAGTCTATATGACCCGGCCGAAGATCAGGGGATACTTCATTACTTGCCTAACGGTACAATTCGGTACAAACTGGACCTCAAAAAGGACTTCATCCCATTACTGCGCCGACCGAAAAAAAAATCCCTCCAAAAGAAATTTAAAAAAGCTTTTTCTATCTCGTTAAAAAAATTAAAAAAAAAATCAACATTTACAAGAACTAAAACAAATTTTATCTAAAGATTGTTACAGTTTTTACCATAATTTGCCGTATGAAACCTAACTTTTACATACTTAATGCCTAATATTTAATAATTTTAAAATACATTTTTAAGATAATTTGGAAAATTAACTATCTAATTGCAAATAAACTGGATTACGTGCTATCTGAAAAATATCGCATCAGCAATACCACGTTCATGAAAAACAGCGATTTTTTCAGCTTTTTAAAATCCTTTATTTAATATATTGCCTCCACAATATTGATGATACCAAAGTCTAATAGTATGTTCAGTTTATAAACAATCCAGTACTTTTCAAAAAAATCAGTTTTCTTGCTCTTTTGTATACGTGGTATTGCGCGCCAAGCGACGATATGTATGTACATAAATGCCAAATTATTTTATTTTAGACATTATCTTTAGTACATATGCCTAAACATATTTATTTGATTATAAATATTATTACAGGAAAAAATACGTTCGATCTGAACCACCAACATTCCTAAAGAAAATTGGAGATTGTGAAATTTATCCTGGTATGACTGCAAAATTTACAGCGTGTGCCACAGGTAGTCCTGAACCTGAAGCGGAATGGTTTAAGAATGACCAAAAACTTTTCCCTAGTGGGAAAATATCTATGGACCATGAACCCAATGGCTTACTGCGACTAACTATTAAAGATGCTGACGATACTGATGTTGGGCGCTATTCGTGCCATATATTTAATCCATATGGAGATGACACGTGTCATGCTCATCTTTTTTATGATAGTAAGTACTAAATTTTATATCTGAATAGTTTTTATGAACTGAACTTTTATCATTTTTCGTAATTATAGCTATTGACGACCATAACAGAAGACCATTATCAGAGCAATATAATGATTTGAACAAGTTCAAAAAGACAGGCGTTCCCACACCACTTACGGAAAGGCCAACCATATCACGAATGACTGACAGTACCTTAAGATTGTCTTGGAGACCATCAGTGTTAGCATCACCGCGATATCCTGTAACATATCTGGTAACTAGATAACAATTTATCAAATTACTTAGTACATAAGCACTTTATTTACGAGGGGGGAGCATTGAAAGCCAAACCGCGTCAGTGTGAGACTTTAACCCGAACTAAACCTCCTACCGTCCAAATACCAAACGCCCCGGTACTATCGTAAAGTTATTCGAAGGGAGGAGGGGGTTTAGCGCTAAGCTCTAAAAGCGCAGTTAGTCAACGACGTACGTAGCAGCATATCAAATTTACTGGTGATTGAGAGAGAAAGAAGCAACGGCAACGTCACCGCCATGCGGTGGTGAGTTTTCGTTAATAAGCGAATCCCATAAGGTAGATCGTGTCTGCGTCAACCTACGTCTACGCTACATCGTTGAGTGTTTGCGCTTTAAGTCCGTTGCAGTTGCGATGCTCTCTGTCTACAATTAGCATCTACTCACACCAGTTATGTATTAATAGAAAAACCTTCACCGTCCCGTCGTGTCATGTTCACCTACTTTTCTGCGCTTTTAACTTTTTTGCCATGGTCCTTATAACATCTTCTCTTTCGCCTTCTTGCCATGGTTCTTCTTGTAGCATCTTCTCGTTTTAGGTGCTGGTGTATCTGGGTTATTACGATGTTTTCTACGTCAACTTGACGTCAACTATGTTTTCAGGTCATAGCGTATGTTCAGAAAGCAATGCTATTTTGCTACAAGCGAAAAAAAACTTATTTTTAATTTCAGTACACTTTCTAAAGTGGAACCAATTTCTTAGCTAAATAAAGATAAATTGCAAATATCTCTAAAACTTGTCCATAGGAAAAGAAAATTTACTCGACTTTCGGAATCAGCGAGCTATTCCAAATAGTGGCAGAACAAAAATTAAAATTTGTGATACGGTGAAATCATTGATTTATAGATTTTCATCCCTTTAGACCAAATCCTTGCATTTTTATTTGATTAAATTTAAATATATTTCATGACCAATTTTTATTTTTATAAAGCCTTTTTAAATATACTTTAAACCAATAAACCAACTTTAACATTTTAAATAAACTACTATGTAGTACGAAAATAAATCTCTTTTGAGGCAAGGATAGCTTCATTATTCCACAGTTTACACTGGATCACAAATTCTAATTTGGTTTTTGTTCTCCAGACGCCACTATCCAATCTCTATGTAGAATTGCTCGGTGATTCCGACATTCGGGTTAATTTTTTTTTCTATGGATACGTTTTCGAGATATTTGTAATTTACCGTTATTCAGCTGAAAGCAAAAATTGATTCCTTTTGATCACGTATATCTTACGAATCAATTTAAAAATCTTAATATAAAATACGGCAAATGAAAGCCAATGAAATTCTCCTTACACCTTATATACACCACTTCCCGATAGGGTTTATAGTTTCTGATAAATTAATTAATCATTTAAGCTTTTTTTTATTTTTTAATGCAAAAATGAAAAAAAAATCAAACTTTAACAGAAGAAAAATTTAAAAAAAAAACAGTTATGTGCCAAATTTTTGCATTTGTACTAAAGCCTGTTCTGTTACAAAAAAAATAAAGTTACTGATGAAGAAAATCGATGGATAAATACGAAATATTGAGTGGTCAAATGAAAATGCGCAAAAATTTTTTGTATGAAATATGAGCAGAAAAGCGTGTTACTTAGGTGTGCGCGGCGCATTCTTTCGTGCTAATTTTCATACAAATAATCTTGGGCGTTTTTATTTGACCACTCGTTATTTCGTATATATCCATCCATTTTCTTCATCAGTAACTTGATTTATTTTTTGTAACAGAACAGGCAAATACAAAAATTTGGCACAGAACCTGTTATTTGTTTAATTTTTCTTCGGTTACAGTTTGATTTTTTTTAATTTTATCATTAAAAAATAAAAAAGCTGGAATGATAAATTAAGTTGTCAGAAACTGTAAGTCCTATCGGAAAGTGATGTATATGCGGACTTATTTCCTTTTCCGGTGGGCCCGCGGGCGTTATTTCATCTTTATTGTGGCTCTTGTCCCAATTTTAGAATATGCACATCCAAAACCCCCTGTTCTAAAAAAAACTAACTAACATGATAACATTGAACTAAATATTTGTTTCCCCTTATTATACGAAGAAATTGAAATTAACAAATTTCAATGCATATATTTCATACATACATATGTATGTATGTATGTATGTACATGTGTATGAAAATTAAATAATTTAAAGATTCAACAAAAAAAAAACAAGGAACATGAAAAAGTAAAATGAATACTCTCGTCGATTGTCGAATAATTTGACGGCAAATTGGACACAAAATGCTTGTATTTCCATTAAGATTAGTACGCCTACTGTGCTCTGCAAAGCAATATGTGCAAAGTTTAGAATGATTGGCCGAGCTAGAGCTGTCAAACTATCGATAGTCAAGTCCATCGATGTTTTACGATAGGCTTAAGGGTGACTATCGATACTATCGACCCATTTCATATGTTTTTCTAAATCAATTTTTTTTCGTGTGCTTGCTTTTATAAATTTGTTTATTTTAGCGGCCCACGGTTGCATTTTAGTATCGAGAAATATTGCTAGAAATTCATTCGCCGTGTAAACAGTCAAAAAGCGATTTCAGAAATTTTCCCTGCAATTCGCCTTTCGGAAATAAAAAAATGTCTTTCGAAAGACACTTTACATGCAAGGTGCCACTGCTCATGCAACTGCTTCCTGAAACTTCTCAATTTGACAGTCTTTTGAAATATACTGCATTACCAGGTCAGACACGGCAATGTAACCTCTGCTGTTTCCATGCTTAAAATAAAAAATGGCGCTTTTAGAAATAATGCCATGAACCAACTAAACAGATCACCCAGCACGGCAACCTTGTATTTGTAATTGCATTTGAGAAAAAAAAAGAATAGTTGATAACGTCATTTTTTAATCGGTTGTTTCATTCACACGCATGGTTTCATTTCGTTTCATTCACATGGCGGCGAAAAAATTACGGCACTGCAAAAAAAAATGCTGTTTTCTCGCACACCGTCCTGTATGATCTTTATTCGTTCGTTCATGAAATAATGCTGCCAAGTTTTGTTCTCTTTAAACCCATACGTGCAAATGTCAAAAGCGCTAGGGAAGAGAATACGTATCAATGAAACGATAGTGGCGATAGTGCTAAAACTATCGATAGTTATTTCAGGTGACCAGACTATCGATAGTATCGTCGATAGTTTGACAGATCTAGGCCGAGCTTCTCCTCCGATTGGCGGTGTGTGCCTTGATGTCACACAAACTACTCGACCACGGCTGCTTTATGTTTTTCTTTCCTTTACTCATTTTTGTTGTTTGCGAAAATTTTCAGTCGCCTTCTCAGCTAATACAACCCGTGCGTCACCCACATCACCACAGTATTTCTGCGGCGTGGGTACACAAACCACCGCAACTTCTCATCATACATTCATATAAAGCATTGAAATAATGTAAGTATATAAACCGCGGCGGTCCGCGTTTTTGCGCCACCACTGAAAAACCTAAGATGCTGACAACAAATATGCACATCGCATTAAAGGCTAAAAAACAATAACAATTTACCTTTAATTTCCAATAATTCGCTTATCAGTTATTGGCAAAAATACCGTTCGATTTTATGAATATTCTGCAGAAGGGAATTTAAAGCAGAACTACACTGTATGAAAATATAGAGAGCAATTCGTTTAAAATACGTTCTGTTTTATGCAAATGTATGCCTGTATACATAATGGGAATATTTCAGTAAAATAAAGCCAGAGAAAATACTACTTACGGGCTTTATTTTCTTTTTTATGAAATGAATTAAGCCGGCGTTATTTCCTTTTCTTTGGGAAATAAAGCCCGCGACCAGTATTGCCCTTTCTCAAAGGAAATAAAGCTCGATGGCTTTATTGCTTTTTATGGGTTGGCGCTATTTACCCTTGAAAGAGGAAATAACGCCCATAGGCTTTATTTCTCTTTTTTTTGCCCATTGGATTTTGGCTTTTATTTGCCGTATTTTATATTAAGACTTTTAAATTGGTTCGTAAGATATACGTGATTAAAAGGAACCAATTTTTGATTTAAGCTGAATAACGGTAAATCAAATATCTCGAAAACGTATCCATTGAAAAAAAACTAACTCGATTTTCGAAATCACTGAGCAATTCTACATAGGAATTGGATAGTGGCATACATAGATCATTTTTGCTGTAAACCAGTGCTATTATTAGAATCTCACCTGCATGTCGTTCAGAAAATTTTTGGTGGAAAAATTCAAATTATAATCTTCAAACCCCTACACCAAAACCCTAGCTTTTCATCCCACATGTGTATGTAGATATGTGCATATCGCCAATCAAAAAACACAATTTCGTATCTGCCATCCAAGGCATATTTAATAAGGTAAAAGTGACAACTAGCTCGAACTCTCATGTAGCTAGTTATGATGTCAAAAAACTGTAAACAAACAATTTAACCCTTTGAGGTGCGAGTGCTATGTTTTGTAGCAAATTAGATCAATTGAAACGCATAAGCATAAATATATGCATATGTCTGATACTAACTTTAAGAATTACTTCAATATTACCTTAAAAAAATTTTAATTGCGTTTGCATCTTATATGCATATGTGTACATATGGACAGAAACGAATGCCTCATAAAGGAAACCACATAAATAAAATTGTAGAACTGTTTTAAACATTGGCTTGGGTCTACTTATCAAATAAGGTTAAATTGACTACACAAAGAAAAAAGGAACATGATTTTTTTTCAAACAGCGTAATTTTCCGGGTTTTAATTTTAGCGATTTGAAGATTTTGAACAGAAAAAGTATATTATAAAGCATTTTCACATTATCAAATTTTACGGCTCATTCGTAGTTCATAAACAAATCAAGTAATTTTGCAAGTAAAATTTGCCAATAAATGCGAAATTCGCGAAAATTCAACCAGTTTCAAAAATTTGCTTTCATAATTTTAAATTTTTTAATCAGATTTTTTAGAAAAGTTTTGGGCATGCTTTTTTATAGCCAGCTTAAT